AATAAAACATACTGTTTGTATAAACATTTAAAGTATAAAATTTCATTAGATAACATGCAAATACTGCAATATTTTAAATGGCACTTAAATATAGATACTGAGATTCTTTATAATTTTGCATCCAATATGAGATTCTGAAATGTACACAACTATAAAAAGAACATATTTCTTCATTGAAGTCAGGTAATAGTATAGAGCTTGATTGTCATCTTACAAGCATTAGGCCCAACATCCTGCAAATCTTCACTAGTCCAAGTAAAGACGTCTACTGAAATAGGCCCTGGGCTAGTTAGTTTTCTTCATAATAAAATACGAAAGCATATTTACATGAGAATAAACTCTTAAATTTTTGGTAAGGTAATTAAGTAGCAGCAATTTGTTTCTTCCAAAAATGATGTTTCAAATAGGTGCATGCTTTTTGTTGTCACCGCGACACATCTGAATAACATAAAATTAACATTCTTCAATAAACTCAAAACACTGTTTTGTTCATTGCTGAAAAAAACCCTGAAACCCTTTAAGATCCTTTCTCACAAAAATCATAAATCCATAATGTCAGAACCTTCCAGGGCACTTTTATGTTTCCAAGACCAATGGAAAACAAGCTAATTGTGCTGAAACAGTCATCTGGCCAGTACTGAATAAAAGAATCATCTTTTCACATTATTCCAAATACTTTTAGTTCTTCATTGAGAAACATTAGTTTATCAAATCTTCGACAGTTTTTGTTTTCTGGTTCAGTGATCAACAATTCTGAATGTCCTTCACAATATAAACCGCCGCAATACTCATGCATATTTTCTAAGCAGTTATATATAATATATTAATGCTGAGAAGGTGAATAAAAGGCTTACGAACAGGGAGTGTGGAACAGGCACCACTTTAACAGAAGGAGAAGAAATGCTAAACGAAACTTGTACTTGAGATGCAATTAGAGCTGACAGCGGCACGTGTGATGCTAATGTTGGACTGTCTGAATTTATCAGCGACTCGATCTTTTCTGCTTCTTTATTGCAAGCTTCAATCTAAGAAAAAAAAAAAAAGTTGTTATTTCTCTTCTTGCCATGTAAAATACCAATGCAAAAATGTTGCTAGATAGCAAAATTCAAGAAAGAAAATCTGAGTTCTCCCACCAGCACATAAGACATAATTTTGGGGAATATTCCTTAGAAAACATATTGGTGGTCTTACCACACACTTTGGTATTAAAAAAATTACCGTGTGTCCTGGTTTGGGCTGGAATAGAGTTAATATTCCTTTTCAGGGACTAGATGAGTGCTGTGTTTTGGATTTAGCTTTGGGTTTGGTATGAGAAGGATGCTGATAGCACACTGGTGTTTTCAGCTGCTACCGAGACTCCAAGGACTCTCCGACTCCCCCTGTCCTGCCCGTGCGCAAGGGCACAGGGAGCAGGGAGGGAGCACGGACAGACCACCAGACCCAAACTGGCCAGTGAAATATTCCATATCATGGAACGTCGTGCTCACTGTATAGAGGAGGGGTGGTTGGGAAGGAGCTCTCTCTCTCTCTCATTTCCAGGATTGCGACTGTGGGATCTTGGTATCTCGGGGTCGCTGGCCGGGAACGGGCTGGGGGTTGGTCAGCGGGTGGGGAGCAATTGCATTGCCTGTTTATATATTTATTTTTGTTTTCCTCCATCATCGTTATTGTTCTCGTTTTATTGCCATTATTTAACTGTTCTTATCTCAGCCTGCGAGTCTCCCTTCACCCCTCTGATCCCCTTGTGCCCATTCCCAGGTGGGGAGGGGGAAGGGAGGGTGACCAGCTGCGGGGGTTGGCTGCTGACCGGGCCCAAACCACGACACTGTGGAAGCCCTGAATAGCAGCAAAAGGGAAGGAGGGAAGCCACATACAAGTTATCCTGGGTGATGTGTTTTAAATGTTGATGCCAAAAAGCTCACAGTAAATTATAACTAAAGTAAGTACCTCTAAAATTGAGGACTGACTTCCTGATTGATCAAGACAGTGACCTAGAGTCTGCAACAGTGAAAAAATCAGGATTTTCTACTTATTGGGCTTTTACTTCCAAATCAGGACAAACTGATTTATTTTCTAAGAAGGGAAGAGAAGAATGGAAGTAATAGGAAAACCTGCGAAAACCCAGGTTTCTATTCCCCCACTGCCATGATGACAATGATGAACTGATGTGGGAAAATCCCTTTTTTCCACCTGCTCCTGCAACCCAGGGAATCAATTTAGTACCATCTCTTGAACAGCTTTGGAAGCTGCCTCTGGTGAAGTTTTGTCCTGGTTTTGGCTAGGGTAGAGTTACTTTTTCTTCTTAGTAGCTACAATAGTGCTGTGCTTTGGATTCAGTATGGGGTTTGGGATGAGAAGAGTGCTGACAATACACTGATGGTTTCAGTTGTCGCTGAGATTTCAAGGACTCTCCACCTCCCCGTGTCCTGCCCAGGTGCGGGTGCACAAGAGGCTGGGAGGGAGCACAGCCAGAGCACTGGGCCCAAACTGGGCAGTGAAATATTCCATAGCATGGAACGTCCTGCTCGGTATATAGGGGGGTGCCTGGGAAGGAAGGGGTTCTCTCTTGCTTCCAGGAACTTGGCATTTCAGGATCACTGTCCGGGAGCAGGTTGGCGTATCAGGCAGTGGGTGGTGAGCAATCGCATTGTGCACTGCCCGTTTGGCCTTTCTATTGTTGCTATTATTTTATGACAATTATTAAACTGTTTTTACCTCAACCTACGAGTTTCCCTTTACCCCTCCGGTTCCCTCTGCCATCCCTGGCTGTGGGGAGGGTGGGCGAGCGGCTGCGGGGTGTTTGGCTGCTGGCCGGCTTCAAACCGCGGCAGGTTTTAACGTAGTATCTGGAGGCCCAAAGCTTTGAAAGTTGAGGAACTTCTAGCTCAGCAACGGCCGTCCCCAGTGGGACGAGCGGCTCCTCGCTGGCTTGAGGTGGCCCCTCTGAAATCAGAGTCCTCCTCTCCGCGGGAGCAGCGGTGACAGCAGCTGAGCAGTTGACAGCACGTGCTGCAGACGGAGCGCGGGCGGGCTAGGTTGGCAAGGCCCCACGCCTTGTTTCCTAAGTCCTGGTAACATTTTTGGGCTGTTTCTGCTAAAGGAGGAGGCAAGCTGGAGCCGAGTTGGACGTAACAGGGTTGGCTCCAGTAGCACGGGCAAGCAAAATACACACAATATATCTGCCTGAGCAACAGCTCCCCGATTAGACACTGCAGCTTGCAAAGTTTACGGCAGGGATTCCGTCCCCTCACTCTGTACCATAACTTTAGCCCACCCCAGAAACCATACTGAGCATGCAAAACGAGACAGCGGAATTCAAGTGGAAGTGGCAAGCAGCCATCAGTATAAAATAAACCACAAGGAAACGAACCTGCCTGAATTCTGTTTGTATTGTAAAAGTTAAGAGAGAGACGGTGGGGCAGGTTTTCTCTCCCCTTCCCTTTCAAAGCTAAATCCTTCCTTTTACACTAGGACACATCGACATGTCGGGTAACAGAATGAACCGGTCAGAGCACCCAGTCTGCCAAGGGACTTCATTGAAAGTGCTGTCAGCAGGGCCAGGCAACACTATTAGAAACAACCATAAAATGGCAAGGAACGATGTTCCTCTTAATAGGAAGAAGATATCCTTGCTGGTCTTGCACAGGTTAACAAACAGAGAGTAAAAATGAAGCAAAGGCTCCAAGATAATAATAATGCAAAATACATCCAACGTCTCGTTCCCATTGCTCTGAACTGCTCCTAAGAAAATGCTGTAAGAGTTTTGAGCTGCATTTGTCTGTTTACCTTTAGAGTTTAGTACTGTGAGCATTAGGTTCTTGTTCGCTAGCGTGAACTAGCTATGACACAGCAAGCTGGGCAGCTTGTTGGACTGTTATTTCCTTTTTAAGGTCATAAGAGCATTTTGGGATCTTTTTACCATAAGGTGGAAAGGAATATCAAAACCCGGATGGTCTCAGAATATTAGCAGATCCTCTCTGGTGTGAAATACTGCTTAGCATCAAGACACGCACAATGCATGAATATGGTATCAATACGTCTGCTGTGCTTCAGCCTAATTTCACATCTATTTCAGTCTACTTTTAACCCTGACAGTGGAGACAAAGGAGTACCATTTCATGCACAAGTATGCATTTATTATATTAAGTGGTCATTCAGTAATTGAACTATTTTCATCAGTTTGTAGTTTTCTGTTATTTTAGCCAGAGGAAGTCGAGCCTTCTGCATTTATTAATTTAAACCCCAAAATACTTCTCTATCCTTGGCCTTCCTTCACTTCCCCCCCTGCTCTAGTTACCCACACTCAAAAGCCTCTTAGCAGAAAAGCAGCATTCTCAAGACACATTTTACCATCCATAATACTAGCTATTTAGATTTGAGTCACTAGAGAAATCCCCATGTTATTCAGTACAGAGAAAACCACACAATTTTAAAATGGCTGTACTGAAAATAGTAAAGTATGCACATAAAAAAAATGAAGTAAATCCACGCTGTGTAAACAAAATAATGACATTGTCTACCTGCAGTGGTTTGGGGTTCTGATCCACAGGAATGATGAGAATCACAATTTCGGATTCTATGCTTAAGTATCCAAACACATCACACTGCGGCACGGAGACATGCAGGCGGATTTTTTCAAGTATGTCAAGTACTGTTATAGGCTTTTTATTTGTTACCTGGAAGAAAACAAAGAACTTCATGGGTGATGTGGTATTATGCGAAATTACATTTCTCCTCTTCAGTTTTAATAACCTGATGTCGTGCCAGACAATTTGTTTCAGCCACTAGACTACTCGGTTCTAATCTCTAGCCAAAAAACTAGATGACGCAGTGATTCTAAGACATAATTCTAAAAAATGAGTCAATGATTCTAAAAAACTCCCCAAAGCCACCCCCCAAAATGCATTAAAAAAGTGAAAGGAAGAAAGGGAAAAGGTGATTTACTACTTAAATTAACCACGGTTTCGATATGCATGGTGAGAAATGGTTATCTGTTGCAGCTGCTTGTACTCCCACGCTGAGAAACCAGAGGCAGAGCAGCCCTACCAGCTGGCCCTCCTTAACCTCCCCAGAACCTGCTCCAAGGGCCACCAGAAATGAAGAGCTACGGCTTTGTGAAGACAGAGGTATGTCTGTACACGTGGGAACGTGGGGCATTTCCAGATTGCCACGTAACTACCAGGTAAATAGAATTTTTTCCTGAAGTTCTTATCGCTGTTCTGCTATCTGGATCTGACAAGCAATGATTTGGCTGTAGATGCTCAGTCTGTTTAAGGACTGCCACACCTGAAAGGTTTTGCACCTTTTTTCCAGGTCACTTCTGGATGTGTTGAACACTACAGACACCGACAGAAAATACTGCCCTTGTGACTTCTGGTCATTCTGTTCTGTTCTCTCTTCTAGCTTTAGCTGCAAGAAATCCATCCTTACTATCTCACTGTAGCTTTGTTTCTTTTGAGACTGCTGGTACAGGACCTTAACAAATAGAATTCTGGGCAATCCAGGTAGATTACATGAATCAAATTTGCAAGGTGTCACACAACACTTTTTTTAGCAGATTTCTGAGGGATTTTCTTCTCATAGCCCCATTAAAATGTAATCTGACATGCTGACTGACCAGCAAGCCCTGTTTGGTCTGAAAAAAGGAGCACATGGATACTTTAAGGATGACTGACAGTGTCAAACCCGGATTTTAATCTCTTAGATTAGAAATCTAGTAATTAGATTAGAGTTGTAGCAGATCTCTAATGCTTCTCTGCTCTGCATAGATGCTGACTTTTGTTTCGTGCTCTCTTTATAAAAAAGGCTGGAGGGGTAGGGGGAGGAGAAAAAAAAAAAAAAAAGGTCAGATTTATAGAACTCTCCAGTAATCGAAGCAGCTTTTTCTCATGTGAACCACCTGTCTGAACTCAAACAGCCATACCTTACCATTCCTTGCCCTCTTGGGTTGTTTAAAGTGTACGCTAGCGTTTCTAGCAATGCAAAGGGAATGCTGACTTGAATGTTTGAGAGATCACGTATTTGTAATGTAAAGAGATATATATTTACATATAGGAGTTCTGAAAACATGAAGGCTCTGTATTGTGGCATTAGGTGAGCAAGAAAAGAGAAAGTCAGCAAGACTGTGGTGACAGAGGAAAAAAAATAAAAAAAGAGTACTAAGTAACCTAATCCAGGTATTAGGGTACTTCATAGGTGACAGTACTTATCACTACTTGAATAACCACTTGAGTAAGTCTGATAAATTGCTTTAACTAGAAAGCCTTCTTCTAACTAGAACTGCTAATCTCCTTCACAGCTACATGTTGTAATGCCTAACCTGAGCAGCTGCACTCACTGTGTCCCTGCTGCCAGCGGCGGTGACAACCGGGAGACGTTCCAGGATGCAGCCCTGACCCAACAGATACTGTTACTCAGCAAAATCAGTCTGTGCACACCCCTTAAAAACTCGGGGTTTTACAAAATCCAGCTGGCCAGGCTGATCTAACTGGAGCTAGCCCTGCTCCGAGCAGGGGTCTGGACTAGACGAGCTCCAGGGGGTCACGTTCAAGTTACGTTTGTCTGTGTTTTTACAATAACAGCTAATCATCTCTATTTCTCAACACAGAAACAGGTTAATGTGATTTTTATACAGTTTAGTCAAAGTTCTCTTTCTTCTCGATATTTAAAAATATGAAAATCATGTGCAGACGCAAACATGAATTGCTTTGCTTCACCAGGCATGATCGTCATATTACTTTATTTTGTTGTGATGTTGTGACAAAAATCAAGTGTTCTGCTCTGTTCCCTGCACTGAAGCATAAAAGCAGAGGTCAACAAAGTGCGAGCCTCTTCTGCACCACACGGGGAGCTTGGGCCTAGTACGCTGTGGCCAGCGATAGGCAATCAACACCAGCAGATCCACCTTACACTGGAGGTTTTCAAAGAGCAGCAATGAAGGATGCTGGTGTCTGGCTTACGGAGATGTTCAATTAAAATCCAACATTTTAGCTGATGAGCAACAAAATCAGTGACAGCTATCTAGACAACCCGAAGAGTGTAAACTAATCCAATTTAAACGTAAGACAATGGTCAGAACTAAGTTACCCACATTAGGAAATAGTGAGCTAGCAGAATAATCTTAACAAAAAGGCCATAAATAACAATTGTACACTGTGTTACTACCATGAGATAGATGCAATTCCCGTCACTGTTGTCTCTACTATTACAAGTCATTTAAACTGCAAACCTGAATGTGCTTGTTTGTGCCTACTCTAATTTTGTCTTGATTTGCGTTGTAATTCAATTTCTATGCCTGATATTAAGAAATAAAGTATAAACAGTATAAAGGAAAAACCAAATCACACTCCCTACTGAAAACCAATTGGTTTTATAAAGTATTAACTTCTCAGTAGAGAGTATACAGTAACTTGACTTTCCCATGTACCATTTAACATATGGCATCATTAAACCGTTTACCCTTGCAAAAGTATCCAGCTTGTCTTTGTCGTATAGGATTCTCAGCATTCCAGCACACAGGGGACAGCAGGCTCCTATGTGATTAAAAAAAAAAAAATAATCTCAGAAATAAAAGCATATAGTCTTTTCACTTTCAGGTAAGCAGAGGTCAAAAGTTGAACATTAACGGAGAACAAAAAGAGCAAAACTACCAAAGCAAAGTAAATGTTTCAGTTTGATAGCAGAATTGCACAATTTCTAAGATTTTTCTGATGTTGAAAACAAACCTCTGTAATGCAAAAGCAGTCACCTCTCAACACACAGCTACTATTATCAACATGAAGCAACGAGATGAATTTTCATTTGTTTCAGGATGATACATTAATGTAAGCTAACAACCACAGGCGCTTGGAGTACAAGCCAAGGTTTCGGTTGGATGCGTGCATACGCGACTCCAGAAATGATGAATTTCAAGAGCTGAAATCGCTAGGACCTGACAAGCAATTATGCACACTGCAAACATCACTTTATGCAGTTATACCATGGTGGAGCTTAGAATCTCTGGATACAAGGCAGGAAAAAGGGTGTCTGACAGATTCATGTTTAACACAGATGCATGTCGTATTTCTCCTACTGTTTTTCCTCGCCATCTCAGAAACCAAAGGGCTAATATTTCAACTTTCTACCCGTGAATATTCAACTCACCTCTCGACTTATTATATGTAATTCACATTCACAGAGTGACTTTTACAATATTAAGTGTAATACCGAAGCACAAAGACCCTTTTTAAACCCGTCAATGAGACAAATGCATTAAACCATTTTTTTTAAAAACTGCGCTTTCCCGGCTCTGGGTCTTACCTGTGATCGGTTACTGTTTCATATGGGAAGTATTTGTCAAAACAATAAAATCACAGCTCAAAACAGCACAACTGCAAAACTATTCCGACCGTCTTCCTCTTTCACAGCACCATAAATACATACGGTATCTTACTCCGTCTTCTAATTAAATACCATCTTTGCTCTTCTGGGAACTCTACTGGGATGACAGTTTGGCATTCCAGTGTGGCATCTGTACTGCCACTTCCGAAAAATGTCTCCTCCGGTTCCCGGTGACGTTTTACCCCAGCCACCACAGACCTCATTCGCTTCTGCCAGGCCAGTCCCGGGGAGATGGCTGCCAGCTTCCACAGCCTGGAGGAGCGTGACCCCCCAAAGCCGAGGGCTTTCCACTTCGGTTACTCAGCTGAGTCCTTGTTCTAGCCCTGAGCGAAGATCTCTCCTTCATCCTTTCCCTCGGATGTCTCAGTGACGTTACGGCACGCGGTTACCTTAAAGCGTGAGTTTTGCTCCCAAATATACTCCTGTTTATACACACGGCCCGGGGGCTCCCTCCTCTCCGCCGTCCTCTTCATCCCCCCCCCCCGTGAACGTACCTGGTGCAATAACGGGCTTGCAGCCCGTCGCAGAAAGCCGGGGACACTTCACAAAGGCACACTCCGTATGAAAGCCGTAGTCCGCGAGAACGCCGACGGCCTGACAGGGCCCCTGGTAGTCCACGGCCACGCGGGCCGAGTAGGCCGCGCAGACGCTGCCGTAGGTCTCTCCGTTGTGCCCGCACACGGGTTCCGCCGATCTGCAAAACGGCTGAAAGGCACGGGAAGGTTTCAAAGGTCAGCTTATTCACGCCGCGGAAGCTTCGGGGGCGTTTGGACATCGGGGAAACCAAAGTTGAGGGGGATTCGCTGCTAATGCGGTCAAACGTTCAAAAAAGTAGGAAATCTGGAGTAAATCACCGGCCAGCTTATGAACGGGTAATAAATGCAAGGAGTAAGTACTTAAGTAAGGTGACAGAAAAATGTAAGGTCGACCCTGAGAAATGTACGGTAAGATGTCTTCTGGGAAATTACAATTTTTGTTCTGTGCCTATGCTTAAATAAAATGACCATGACATTTAAATTAACCTACGTATTAAATTAATTAGATTTAAGAGGCTTATCATTTCATCACGCAATAAAGATTTTATTAATAAAGCTAGTTTAATCATAAAAGAGATGGTAGTATTTATTACTATTTTAATGATTTTTTTATTAACTTATTTATTAATCTCAGTTGCTTGTGTTCTTAAAATTTAGTGTGCGTGTGCATGCATTTCTAAGACATTATTTGAGAAGCTGAATGTATACAGTTACTTCATAATAATAAAATCCATTGCTAGACACCCCTGTCAAAAATATACTTATTGTGGAGACCTTTACATCTATAAAAATACATTTATTGTGCCCATTTTCTCTCTCAGAAAAAGGTATCTAGCATGTCACTTGATTCAAACACATGTAAAAATCGACGAAAATTGTAATACAGTTTCTTCCTATCCTGCCTGTGCACATATATTAGTCCAACACAGTCAAGAGGTCAAACATCAGTAAACTTTAGCTTCTGAACACGGGCAGAAGCAAACGGAATTGCCGACTCCGTGCAGACAAGGTATGACCAATGCTTTTTTCCAAAGTCTTGTGAGATGACACAAACTCATTCCATAGTTCCTTGATAAGGTCTAGATATTTTATTAAACTAATATTTCAAGTAAGTCACCGTAGCTATATGATCACTGTATATCCTCTAAAATAGCAAGGCAATTACAGTTTCTATGTTACACACCTAAGCTACCAACAAAACAGACAAAGCACAAGTAAACGGGAGCATCCCAAACGGTTTCATATCTCGCAGTCATCTTCCCTATAAAAGCAAGACTGGAAACTTAGAGCTACCAGTGTCAAAAACTTTGTGAACGTGGATAGAACTAGACATGTAACTGCTGGAGAAAAAAAGAGTAGCCATGCAATATTCCTTTGATTCTTACTGTTCAAGGGCTGAACATTCCCTGAGTATCTCATGAGATAGCTGATGTGCAATGAGAAGAGTTATCTGTACTTAACGAGGTTGCTGAAAAAGGGCAAGAAAAAGAAGGTATAAAGACA